GCACAACTATGACTTGGTCCAAACTAGATAATCTTGTCAGTATCAATGAGGCAGTTTGGTTAATAACTCTTACCAGGTGCTCTAGTCATGAAATCATAACACTGCCACTGAAACATTTTGCATCATCTTGGTTGTGCCAGGGTTAAATTTGAGGGAGCGCTTCCACTGTGTGGAGGTCATTGGACCATTGGCGTCATCAGGTGCACGAAAGTCGCTCACAAGAAACTCCTTCTCTGATATTGCCAAGACGGGTTTGGAACCAATCTTCGCAACGAGCAGACCAAAAACCGACGTTCAAGCCCGATGCATTCCAAGCATGCGGCCGAGGCCACCAGGATGATACTACTACATCCGTGCCCTGAGCTAGAAAGCGTGAGTATTAATATTGCTACGATTGATCAATCTGTGTAAAGGAAAGCTTACCCTGGTGCACGTAGTATGTCCCGCACATAAAATCGATTTCTTCTTCCGACAACCCATCGTCGTAGTAAGTCTGATCATTGCTGCACAATAGGAGACCAAATGGAACAGCTTCGGGTGAGATACCATCAAGGACAGATGGGAGATGGTCAAAACCGAGGCTGTGCAAAGCCAACCACCATATGAGTCCCCCATGCAGAAAAGCAGCCCTTGCTCGGGGCCGGTTCATAAAGTCGTGACGTAGCTGCTCATATACAATGTAATCCGTGTATATTGCGCGGAAGGGGAATTGTCGGTGTCCCAAGGTGTAGGTATGAAGCTCAGTAGGGGGGTGCCGCAAGTTGGGCACGACAGTCATACGCTGCAGGGTCCTAAATGCTATACCTCTTTGAAGGAGAGCAAGCGCGATCTCCTGCATGTTTGAACCCCAGTTACGTCACAGGCACATCACCGCAGTAACGGGGTCGGGAACAGCTAATGTCCAGACAACATGATTTGGGGATTGGCGGGGCTCAATTATAAAGAACCAATGTTGCGATAGCTGGGCATAAGAAACTCGGATATGCACATGCGAGATTTGTAGAGACAGATTGGGTCCTAAATCCCAAACATCAGGCAGTATTAGGCTGCCTGAGTCAGACTGCTTGAAGTTTACCAAAAGCGCAATGAAGTTCGTAATGCTTTGGCGTTGTGGCTCTGCAATCGAACCTGTTTCAGCTGTCGAATCGCCAACTAGCTTCCGAGTATGTTCCCATTGCATCTTCCTAGTCCATTCTTGCATCCGTGTCGATACGTTCAGAGGAGGCAAGACAGCTGCCATGGTTCAATATCCAAAATGGTAATGTAAGACAGGGATGAGTCCTTCAATACTCATGTGTCTCGATGCAAGCAAAACCTCGTTGCCGAAGTATTTGTATATGTCCTGCGAGAAACTGGAAGGAGTAGGAGGTGGAAGTACAGGGGGAGCGACTATAGGAAGTGGAGGCATGATGTCGTCATTATCTTCCCGATCATCACCGTCAGGGATGCTAGTTGGGTTGAGGGCATGACATAAGTCCCACTGGTTAGAAAAGGGATCAAAGATTCTAGTTTCCTTGTTGTAGTTTCCCCAGATTTCCTCTACACAAGCCTTTGTGACGGGGTGGCGCAACAGGAATCCATCCTCATCCTCATCATCGTCATGGGGTCACCATTTGAACACCTGAATTGTGCTAGACCTCCCAGGCATGTGATGATTCATTGCCAAACGCTCACGACCTAGACGTGCCTGCCATTGAGAGGGTGATTCCTTCGTCTCCTTCTCCTTGTTCTGCGTGGCCCAGTGGGCAAAGAACACCTTGAAATCTTCACCATGCTTCTGACTGCTATTTTTTGGGGGGAGCGGAAAATGGGAGAGGTCGGGCTGCGATTGAACAATGGACATTGGTGCCAGATCGTCCGACTGAGTGCCCCACGTATCGTTCGACTGAATGCCCCATGGATCGTTCGATTGAGTTCCCCATGGATCATCATTAGACGGATTATCATCGTGCCTAACTCCCCAAGTATTATCGTCCTGAGTGCCCCATCCTGACTGGATGCCCCACTGAGTCTGAGTTGCTGCAGCGATATCTGTTGTTGAAGGCAGGTATTTTTTCCAGGCCTTATCGTGTACCATATTAGAAGGCCAATACACCCAGATTGGGATTTTGAAGCTTTCAAACATGGTCACATCTCCGTCCCAACCCAGACCGTGGGCACCGTTGATAATCATGCCAGTGCGTGGTACAGCATCTGTGAGATCCCTGACGAATGTGCGGGAGAGTTTGACCACCCATGCAGATGGTATGGGACATTGAGGGTCTTTGGTCAATAGAGAGGTCCAGTCTGAGGGACCATCATGGGGTCTATATCGATGAGCCATGATGAAGTATGTGCAGAGAGTTGCGATACCTGAAAATACCGATAAGCCTCAATGCGTCACAACAGAACGAACTCCATACCTATGAACGCGTCGTGTGATCTCAGAGCGACCTTCTTTGCGAGCTTCACATCGACATGAGACCTCAAGTACCCATAATCTCTCGGAGCTCGTGGGGGTTGGCTGTACCAAGGAAAATGCATGTTCGTTGCTAGACGTCCCTGACACAAAGCTAACTTCTGCTCCAGAGCCTGCCATGCTTCTCGGACGTCCTTGTGTAAGATATAGCGATGATCGGGTGTCGCCTCAATGGGCACAGAGAAATAGGAATAATTGAGGCACCCGAAGATGGCACCATCAAACACAGGGTTTTGGGGGATGATAGGATACCATGGGCGCATTTCGTATGCCCACTGGGTCATTAAGGCATCTCGGATGTTGTCGGAAGAACCATCAGACTCTAACACTGGGTTCCAGGGTCGAGGGATGGGAGGAATAACAGTAGGAAGCGAGGATGCATTGAAGGAAGTGAAAATTGCCCCTTCGTTTACGAAGACGCGGAGGTTAGGAGCCATGAGCAGCACGGCAGGTGGCGGATGAGAGCAGACCGAGCGTTGTGCAGGCAAGAAGAGCAAACGAACAACAGTAGAAACCGTTGTATGCAGCAGGCAGGAGGAGTATATGAACAACAGTATAAACCGTTGTACGCAGCAGGCAAGACAGATAGATAGTATGCGCGAAGCAATTAGTAGACAGGTAGAAAGAGGAACAACAGTAGAAACTGTTGTATGTGACGTAGGGGGTAGAAAAGGGAAAGCAAGTCTGTGGTATGCGGGGTTTAAATTAGAGGCCTGACTTCGGGCCACAAACCCATCAATGGACTTAGTGGAATCGCAGAGATTGTGGAACACCAGAAATAACATAATCATAATAATATAATCATAATGGCAGAGTAAATTTCGATTGTCTGCTCTCTGGTCTCTGAGGGTTGTGCAGAGAGAAAATGCGGGGGTACAAATAAATATTAAATGCTAAGACATAAATTTGAAACCAAAAAAAAACAAGGCTCCTCATAACAATGGAAGAGGAAGAGATCATTTGCATGCTAGTGGAAATCAGCAGCTGGGTGATCAAAACCGAAAGCAACTCTTAGTATCATAAGAATAAGAAAATCAACAATAGGATTACCTGCGGTGGGCGCTAATCCTCATCAGAGCGGGGTAGGCGACTTTGAGTTATTGAATGGAAAGGAAGCAAGACAACGACACGACATGACAGTACATACTATCATGACGAAGGCCGGTAAATGGAGGAAGGACACGACAGTACATACCGTTGTGCCAGGAGAAGAGAGGTGATAAAGTATATGGGCCATAGCGCATGGGAAATGAAAACTTGGTCGATTCGGAGGGTTGGAATTTGCACGTGACTTTATTTGCAGGTGTTTATACTTTCCGACGAATTGATTCTAAGTCCCCTCAAGCTTATTCTATCCTAATCCTGTATACTTAATATGTATACTTTCTTATACTTCAATTTCTACTTGGCGCGATGGTCTGTACTGTTGTGTCTGCTGGACTTTGACTGGGTTCATTGTCCGGACCGACTCCTTCCTCTGACTTTCCTTCCTCTGACTTTGATCGATCCCTAACGCACCCTTATCCTCTCCTCCTCTGACACGACGGTCTGTACTGTTGTGTCTGCTGGACTTCGACTGGGTTCATCGTCCTGACCGACTCCTTCATCCAACTTTCCTTCATCCGACTTTCCTTCATCCGACTTCGATCAATCCCTAACACGCCCTTATCCTCTCCTCCTCTGACACGACGGTCTGTACTGTCGTGTCTTCTGGAATTCGACTGGGTTCATCGTCCTGACCGACTCCTTCATCCGACTTCGATCAATCCCTAACGCACCCTTATCCTCTCCTCCTCTGACACGATGGTCTGTACTGTCGTGTCTTCTGGAATTCAATTGGGTTCATCGTCCTGACCGACTCCTTCATCTGACTTTGATTGATCCCTAACATGTCCTTATCCTCTCTTCCTCTGACACGACAGTCTGTACTGTTGTGTCTGCTGGACTTCGACTGGGTTCATTGTCCGGACTGACTCCTTCCTCCGACTTTCCTTCCTCCGACTTCGATCGATCCCTAATGCGCGCTTATCCTCTCCTCCTCTGGCACGATGGTCTGTACTGTCGTGTCTGCTGGACTTCGACTGGGTTCATCGTACTGGACTCCTGATATGGCAGTATGTGCTGCCGTATCGTCCTTTCATCGTCGCCTGACTCCTCCGTCTGACTTCAATCGATCCCTAATGCAAATTTGAGGGATGAGTTTTGAGACACAGACTGGTATGTACTTGCATTAATTCCATCGCCATCCTGACTTCAATCTCGCACAGTGCTGACATCTACCCACTCGGCGAGCCACGCCTTTGGCGCTCGTGCTGCACATTCAATATCTCCAGGAGTACAAAATGATGCCCTACACTACCGCAACTCTCATCCACTTAAATCTTCCATCCGAGATTGATAACCTCTCAACTTGATGCTTGGTCAAACCTGCAAGCCATTCCTCATTATACAATGCTTTAGGCAACCCATCCCCTTCTTTTCTGGATGTTGTTGGATTCCCGGCTGAGCGTATCCGTTTCATCGGCTTTGAACCTTGGGGGGCGAAGATATCATCATCCATGATCCTTTGGTGATCAATAATATCCAATTCCCATTCGATCGCACGGCGCCAAGTCATGTTCTTGACACGAAGAACCATTTCAATATCATTTTCCACGTCGCTCTCCTCTGAACTCATGCTGTCTTCTCCCAACGTCCCAACTAGTTGCTGAAGCCACTGCCAGGCTGGGAGGTCTTCCTCATTCTCATCAGTCTTGTACTTAACAAGATGGTCAAGAACCTTGACTCTGTGAAGATATTTCTGAGAAGGTGTCAGTACCAGATTAGCAGGAGTTCATGAACATACATTTTTCCGACGTGTTGTTTGACGAGTCGCTTTCAATGTCTTGTCTTTCTTAGAGATCAGCCTCTGCTCCACCTCTGCAAGAGTCTCCAATCCACCCTTTGCGGTAACCTTGGGTTGTGTAGCTGTCCACACCGTATGCAGGCGTTTGTAACAATCTTGAAGAACTTCCCTCATATACGCCTCTGACCTTCGGAATGGCCAGCTCTCTTGGTCACCCCTTCTCCGCAATTCTTCAAGCAGCAAGCCAATGACTTTATTATTCCAGGGGCTTTTGGACCCACATTTGAGATCAAAGGCGAGATCTTTGTAATCGGGACCTGGGCCGTCTTCGTATTCATACGAGTAGACATCCTCACGACTAGCTGCCTGATGGAGTATGAAATCAGTGTCTTGAGAAATGTTGAAAACATCTTTGAAGAGACACCGCACTTCACCCTATACATCACTGTAAGTCGCAGCTTCCATACCACCTTTTGACTTGCCAAAAAGAAGTCTCTTTCATAGCTTTTCTCGGCCACCTTCTCTTGCTGGAGTTCTTTTTCCTCCGTCTTTCTCCGCCGGGGACTGTGCTTCTTGATAACTGGAAATTCTTTGTCGATTAGAACACGTCTCAGTGCGGCTTCTACACCTCTTGCAATTGCGTCTTCCATCGTGGTAGCAAAAGGTGTGTCGTGTTGTAGATGTGGTGGTGCGTCTTGTTCGGACGAGTGTTCTGGAGGTACTTCCTCTTCGTCCACCTACTATCATGTAAGTTTAAATCACAGTCCACAGCATCAGATGCTTACCTTTGCTACTAGTGATACAAGGCGAACCCTGTGCAATATTCCGCAAGTTTTCTTTATCCTCTTAATCGCATTAAGGCATGAGGTACCTGATCGTGGTTTTGCGGATGGAGACAATGGTTGTCCCACATCTCTTGGCATATTGGGGTTATTATCCATTTCTGTGACCTCGTCTTGAAACCTGTGACACCTGGAAAATCTCCATTCCATCTTGGCCAGCTCGCTCTCTTTTTCTGCCTGGTGAGTATTTCAGTATATTTTCCATTTCTTTAGAAACATGTTCTCGCCTTCAACTTGAGCACCTCTTGCTGTAACCTCTGGTCCATCTCAGCAAATGTTGCATTCTCGCGCTCTTGAGACTGTTTATTGTTATCAACTGTTTTCCTATCAAATCATTCACGTCACCTCTTCATTTGTCTTTCTCTTCAACTCTTCCTCGCGTTGGATCAGTTTTTCATTCAGCTCTGCTTCTTGCCATGCCCGTTCTTGTGCCAAGTAGTCGCAAGCGTCCTCTTGGATTTTCTGCATAGTGGCCTTTATTGCCTCATGATTACCCTGGCCGAGTGCTTTGCGAATTTCTTTAATATGTTCTTCAAGTTGCTGCTGCTGGACACAGGTCCTCTGTCATGGTCATAAGTGTACATCTGGTGGTCACACACTGCAGAAGGAATTACTCTGATTTTGTCATGGGCCTTTGCTAGTTGCTGTTTCATGTCGTTTATGTTGCGCACATGTTCTACTTGTTGATTTTCCACCTCCTACAGCGCCCACAGGTCAGATATTGGTGATGTCCAGTGAGATACTACGGACTGTTCTCATATTGTTGATCAGTTCCTTTTGACTGTACACGGTGGTGCGTAATGTCTCTGAGTAGTCAACTTCTTTGATGCAACGCTTGTCAGGTAGTACCTGGATAAAAGTAAGTCCAACATTAACATTCATTCATGTAACCTAGACATACCGGATTGGTGACTCGCTTTTCCCTCTTGTCGAGCGGAGCTGTTGGGGGCTGGCCTGTGACATCATCCAAGTCCATCCGGGAGGTCCCCCTCTTGCCCAACCGAGTCATCCAAGTTGATGGCTGGCCTGTGACATCATTGAAGCGCTCTTCAAGGTTCATCTGGGAGGCCTCTCCTGATACCTAGAACAGACACTGAGCCCAGCATGATTCTCGTTCGCTCAATGAATATAGACATACTATGCTAGCCATCGTACATTGCAGTGTGTCAAACTGGGATGTGGTCTGACTCTCGTCGTATTCCATATTGTTGTCTTCGTCAAATAAGTAAGTATCAGTGGCTGTTTGTATGTCCTCCTGCTCAATGTGAATATGGCGCTGTGTTTCTGACATGGCAATGGAAGTCGGCATCATCAATGTTTGACCTCTGGGCTCGGCATGGATCCTACTTATATATGGCCACCATTATTGTGTCTAGATTTTATTATTCTAATAACATTGTCGCATGATCCCCACTTTTTGGTCACTGGTGTTTCACCTTGACGATGTTGCATTATTCGTTTTTCAGGGCCTTCTGTGATAGGGCTGTCATTCCGGGCGTTCCACCTTGGTAGGTAATTGTCGTAAACGCAAATTAAATGACCAAGTCTAAATACACAAAAGAGTTCAAAAATGCCTACGCACAGGCAAGGTATTTATGGAACTGCATTTATTGTTCTGGTCCCTACATTTCGCGAAACAAATAAAGACAATAGAAATGGTGATTGGTTTGTTTATCTGTTCTTGGGGATGTCTGCACTCTGCATGGGGTACACTCAGTTCAAAGTAAGTACTAAAAACTACTATACTATAAGATCGCCCACTTTCATCGCCCACTTTCATCGCCCACTCTAGTCTTTCACCGCTCACTTTCAAGTTTACCGTTCACCGTCCACTCCTTGTACTCAGCGCTGGTCGCCTAGACTCATCACCTAATTTCATTTGTCATTCCTGTGCTGCAATGGTCAACACTCACATTTATATCTTCCCCACATCATCTGTAAGTCATAATCTCGCTTCTCTCTTGATTTTTGCTGACATCTACACAAAGACTGCTGAACTTCATTTGCGGTGTAGGCTATATTCTTCATCGTGGAGTAAACCTCGCCAGGTCACTATGTTGACACAATGCTCTGATCGCTCGTGCAGTGGGAAGTGCTTTCCTGTTCCCAAGAGCCTTCTGGATTGTGCAACCGTGCAGCCTTACGTGCATAACTGTTTTGTCACCTTGCATGAAGGAAGACACGTATATCAGTTTTGCGTTTTTTTTTCAAGCGGCACTGCCGTCTGAGAGCCAACCCACTTCTCAGCAGCATCGACCATATATTCTGAGGTGATGCAGTTGTTATGAGGATTGGGGCTGGCGCCGGCTCTGTTGTGAACATGCGAGGCAGGGATAATTCGCTCGCAGATTTCATCATGCATCGGTAAGCATCACTGGATGTTGATTCCTTGATTCCTCATTGATCTAGAATCCATCAGTTTTACACGAAGTATCAGACATCATCCTCAAGCAAAGCTCCCACATAGTCTCACCGTCGTGAAGCCCTTGAGCACTCGGATCAACCACCAGCTGGCTGCACAGCGAGGTAGTTTGATTTGTATGTAATACATTATGAAGTTCGCTGTGATGGCACCGTTCTTGTCACATGCATCATGAGCGCTGGACGGGATAGTGCTAGGGAAGGACAGATGTGACAGTACAGACCGTCGCACCATCGCACCAGGGGAAGAAGGGAAAATAAGCTTAATTATCACACGAGACCAGTTCGTTAGAAGTTTTAACACCCATAAATAAAGGAACATTATCACCAAACTCAACCCTATATCGACTCAAACTTTAAACTTCTATCAGGGCCCAGCGCTAAGCTCTTACTACTCCTGATCTGGTTGATTTGGATTTTTGATAGTTAGGCATGAGTTCGTGATAAGCCGGATAGCAGATATGGAATTGATATTCCAGCTGGTTCGAAGATACACGAGTTACACAACGATCAATATCTAGCTATTTGTCTCCGTGGATGGCGCTCCACAAGGTGACAAGTCAGCAACGCCAACCCTAGTAATTCAAGTAAAATGTGGTACATGGGTGTATAGTATGAATCAAGTTAACTGTAGATTGATATCAGTTATGAGCTTCATAGTAGGATTATCCTCACTTTCGATGAATTTTTTGTGGTCCTGGTCTTGCCCGCAGCCATCTTTGCTTCCTTCTGCCTAGCACGACCCGATGTATATTTCAAACACATCATGATCGTATCATTCAGCGGCCAGAAGCCACTGTAGTTTTCTAAGTCCGGGAAAGCATCAACAGCCTGACAAATGATAAAATTGTGGACAACTGCCATCCATAGTCTACTCACCTTGTCGCGCACAATTTTCAGGAGCGTATGGTTTTGGGAAGAAGCACACTTGGTCGTATCAAGATATTCTTCAATGAGGTGGTGCATAGATTTCTTACAGGTTCATGAGCAAATAGCATGCTGTGGTGAGAGCACGTCACTCACCTTGAACTTAGCATACGCCTTTGGGTTCCAGTCTAAAGCCTCGTGGAGTGTGTATCCTCCACACCCTGGACGACCAGGTTCACCAGGGGGCTTGGGTATCTTTGAATCTTCCAATAGACTCTCAGTCGAAGTTGAGGAGCCACTGTCTGACGCTGAATCTAATGAATCCAATGAATCTGAGGGTATGGGCATTTGAGAATGGGAATGTGAACACTCGAACAATTTCTTTGAGTATGGCGAGGAAGAGTGGTCATTCTTGAACAGCTGTACTGCAAGTTTGAACTCAGGTGCCAGTGTGTCCTTGAGTTGTGGGTGCTTAATATGCTGAGTGGGCGGAACAACAGTGCTGATTCTGGAAGGAAGAATCTCGTTGGCAACGAGCATAGTTGAGTGGTGAGTACTGCCAAATAGTTCAAGCTGGTCCGTGAGCATAGGAGGGAAGGGAGGTGGAGCACCAGGCTCTTGATCACAGAAAGCAGGGACAGCGTTGGATTTGTTGAGCATGATGTTGTGGTTGCGGCGATGTGAGCGGGACGACTAGGGCGGGTCAAGATATTGGCTATGAACTGTAATAACCTCTAATGTGATTTATCCCCAAATGACACCACTCAACATAGACCTATATAGAGATTAAACAATAAGGACAATCAACAAAAGAAGTCGCCTACGAGATCAAATAAATGAGTCCTAAATATAATAGAAATATGAAATTGTCACGTAAGGATGAACACAAGCGTCGGGAAACAACAAATGGCTAGCAAATCGCCATGGAATCAACAAAAAGTTGCGAAAACAAATGGGAACCTAATATAAATAAGCTGTGAGCAGGTGAACTGGCGACTACAACCAACCAGATTGTGCAGGCAATAATGTCTTTATTTGCCTCGTCACTCTTCGTGAAATCAAAGCAACACTTCCAACATCAAATGCGCCTTTCGACATATGGCGGGTCCATTCACGCACTTGCAATATCTAATGATGGCCAAGCTCTTGCATGCAGCGGTAATTTGACATGCACTTTGTCATGGGAGGTGCTCACAAACAAGCAGGGACCGAGGGCATCAAACTCTGGGATATCAAATCTCGGAAAGAACTTACATGCTCGATTCATCACCACGAGTCCCAAGGCACAGTCAGCTATGCTGTCTGGGTCACAACAAGATTGGGCATGGCAGAAACCCTTTGTTATGGAACTGGGCTGGGCTACATCATATTCTTACGACGTAGCCATGTAGATGTGAGTGTCCTGGTCTCATCATTGAACCTTTGGCTAACATCCAACAGATGCCTTTTCAGGAGATCTGTGCTAGGAGGCTTGGATCAGGCTTCGAAATTACATGCATGGTATGGGATTTGACATCCTCCGAAACGACTACGCGGATTGCAGTGGGAACGAGGGACAAGATAGTTCAAGTCCTCATTCTCAACACAAACTCGCAGCTGCAGGCCGTGTTTTCAGTGCAACTCGATAACACAGTGCCCAAGTCTGTAGCATTTGCAGACAATGGATGTGTCTATGTCTTCAGACTGTATGATGGGAACTTCATCAAACTGAAAGGTGATGACAGCGCAGTGGTGAAGGAATATAGCTGCCAATCAGTTATGTAAGAGTCCATGGTATGTCATTGACAAATGTATCACTGACCTTCTTTCAGTGGACACGCAGCAGTCAACCAGAAGAGGGGCGTCTTTGTGGTGGACAATGCTACTGACGGTTTTACTTTATATTGACTTGAAGGTGACAAGGAACCAGTTTGAACATTTATGACCGCTGCTCCAAGTGTGTCCATCCCCAAGCAGGTGGCATTCACCGCACAAGGAAAACTGATTGTCGGGGGGAGTGATCATGGATTGGTGTATGTATTCAAGAGGAAATCAGGGAAGTTATTTGAGACTCTTTGTCACTCCAATACGGGCTTGGTGCAGACAATAGCGGTAGGTGTCAAATTATTCAAAGGGTAGGATGGGTACTGATTATCTCCCAAGACGCATAATCTTAACGGGCGCTGTACAGTCGCCAGTGCTTCACCAGCGCTAGGCCGTGGAAAGGCTACAATCAACTTATGGGTCTATAACTATGGACCAGCAAAGGAAACTCTTACCTCTGAAGATTCCCGGCCTATGTCGCATGTGATTATGCGCGCGTTCAAAATCCTGGTTCATTTTGGTGCCTTGGTGGTTATCATCTGTTTTTTTGATAACAAACTACTTCGTAAGTCAAGTGGCAGCTCAGCAGCAGTCAACAAATTCATACCTTTGCAGGACGCAGTGGCAACATGGTCAGGAGACCTCGCCCAACACATGGGAATGACTTGAGTGCTTGACTTTTCGGATAACAACTTCCGCCAAAGTGCTAAGGTATTCAACGAAGTACCAGAAGCCCACCAGGAAGTAGACGAACAGAGCAACACATTGATGCTACATGAACTTGCAGGAAAACTCATCAAAGTCATTCGAGAAGCAGAGAGAGATGGAGGTGTGGGTGAGGATATTCATGATGTGACCCGACACGACGAGATTGCCGCAGAAGCTGAAAGGGTATTTTTTGAGGCGGTGAAGGCAGGAGAAGACGATATCAGAAGAGCTCGGAGACAACACAATGATTCGGGGAAAGATGACATTCTCTTGTGATGTAAAAATGTTGTAACATCTTAACGCCGTCTCCTGTTTGTTGCATAAACCCCTCCACGTAATGTGGAGGGATGGCCGAAGATCAGAAAGAACACCTGACGGGTGAAATGGGATGGGGTGGGCAAAATCTGCGAGATAACGTGGTGAGGTATGGAACGGATGACCGAAGACCAGAAAGAATCGCCTGACGGGTGAAATGATATGGACTGGGCGAGATAACAGTGCGAGTGGAGGGATGTCCGAAGATCAGACAGAGTCGCCTGACGGGTGACATGGGCTGGGTGAGATAATGGGGCGAACAGGGTGAATCTCTATTCGAGAGGGTGGGGGGAAGACGCCCAGTAGAGACCACTGAGAGATGGAGGTTATGATTCAAAGAAAAGACTCAGCAGTACAGACCACTGAGCGATGGAAGTTATGAGTCAAAGAAAAGACTCAGCAGTACAGACCGCTGAGCGATGGAGGTTACGAGTCAAATGAAAGACTCAGCAGTACAGACTGCTGAGCGATGGAGGTTATGAGTCAAAGAAAAGACTCAGCAGTACAAACCGCTGAGCCCTAGATGGGCGAGGAGATATGGGGAACTGAGAACTTAGAACTTGAGTTGATTCAGATGGTCGGAGTTTGCACGTGACTTTATTTGCAGGTGTTTGTACTTTCCGACAAATTGATTCTAAGTCCCCTCAAGCTTATTCTATCCTAATCCTGTATACTTAATATGTATACTTTCTTATACTTCAATTTCTACTTCAAGTTGGCGCGATGGTCTGTACTGTCATGTCTATCCCTGGTCCTCTCCTCCTCTGACACAATGGTCTGCACTGTCGTGTCTGCTGGAATTCGACTGGATTCATTGTCCTGACCGACTCCTTCCTCTGACTTTCCTTCCTCTGACTTCGATCGATCCCTAACGCGCGCTTATCCTCTCCTCCTCTGACACAATGGTCTGTACTGTTGTGTCTGCTGGACTTCGACTGGGTTCATCGTCCAGACCGACTCCTTCCTCCGACTTTCCTTCCTCCGACTTCGATCGGTCCCTAACGCGTCCTTATCCTCTCTTCCTCTGATACGACAGTCTGTACTGTTGTGTCTGCTGGACTTTGACTGGGTTCATTGTCCGGACCGACTCCTTCCTCCGACTTCCTTCCTCCAACTTCAATCAATCCCTAACACGCGCTTATCCTCTCCTCCTCTGGCATGACGGTCTGTACTGTCGTGTCTGCTGGACTTCGACTGGGGTTCATCATACTGGACTCCTGATTACGGCAGTATGTACTGCCGTGTCGTCCTGTTGTCGTCGCCCGACTCCTCCGTCCGACTTCAATCAATCCCTAACGCAAATTCAAGTGATGAGTTTGAGAAACGGGCTGGTATGTACTCACTGTAATTCCATTGCCATCCTGACTTTAATCTCCTCCCACATTTTCCTATAGTGTCTCCATGTCACTCATCCATGTTTAGTCACCGTTGTATCCTGATGGAGCCCATGTAGGTAAGCACCTTGTACTTCGTCACTTCTGTTTCTTATTGAAGTAAGATCGCGTTATTATCTGTTGTTCTCCTAGTGGATTTGTACTTTTGATCGTTGTTGTAAGTCACTCCACTTTTCACTTGTTTTTCTTCGATTTTTAAATGGTCACCCCAGGCTGTTTTCAGTCTGCAAGCCTCAGGACCCCATCCATAGACGACGACGGTACATACTGTCGTCGCCGTCAAGCTCCTTATTCGCTCGATGCCCACGTCCCTTACAGCGCTCACACGATGCACGTGTGAGGAGTGCATTGAAAAGGGCAGATATGACGAGAAAGGCACACCAAAAGGGGTGCTAATAGCAGAATGTTCAATCTCGGCTCATGTCCGGCGTGTAAAAGCAGAAAGTGCTGAGCGCGCTGTGTCCATCATAGCTGGCAAACTTGCTGTCTCCTCTATCACCAATGATCTTAGTCGTTTGACCCTTTCCACGGATAATTCCCAGCCCCCATCATTTGCATCTGTAATGAACAATGATCTGGATCGCCCAGGACCGTGCAACCCTCCTGCGGTTTCTGTCTCTGCTCTGTCAGATAACCTTGAGCAGTTGAAGTTGTCAGATTGCATGTCAGCCCCGCTGATGGCTGCTGGCGAGACTCTATCAAAGCCGAAACGGAATCGGCGCACTGTTAAAGTGTTGTATATCCTTGATACCATCAAGTCTCGGATTCAGCGGTGCTCTCGCTTATTGCTACATTCTTGTAGCCTTGACGACGCTGGTCGCGAGCTATCCTTGCTTCGCACAGCTATGGAGAACGTCACTGGAGGGGCAGAAGTTGTAATTGCACGAAAGAAGGCAATCACAACACAGATAGATGACCTGGCTACCCAGTTTGGCGGCCACCAGGATGCACTGCAAGTACCTGTCGAAATTAATACTGGTAAGTCATGAGTATGTCAACCATGGTTCCTTGCTTACCATTCAATAGACGCTCTGCAGCAACCTTCAGTTGATCGCTCAGATGACATCAGCCAAGTCGTCCTATTCCTTTGTGTGGCATGCAGAGTTGTCATGGGGGTCAGCAGGAGTAGTTGTGATTTAATCATAAAGATCATTTCCGTCATACTGTTCCTCGTGTTTTGGAGGTCAGATGGCACTCTCAGCTCATCACATGAAAACATCCTTAAGCAAATTCCCCTGACCTCGGATGGTGCAGAGGCAAAATTTCATCTCACTGGGAAAACTATCGCATACGCCGTCTGCAGCTGTCATTGTACCCATCCTCCGGCATATGCACCAGGCTCTATGACTGCAAGATACCCTGAACGTTGCATGCATTGTCCTGCACCTGGGACCGAATGTGGCAATTCTTTACTTGTTGGCGCTGAAGGAGACCTCCGTCCGAGGAAAACTTTCATGTATCACAACTTCAAAGACTATCTTTCTGGCCTCCTCTCTCGTAGAGATGTAGAAGCCGTGATGGATGAAGTGTGTGATGATCTCATGGACTCCATTAACTCTCCTCTTCCGCCCTTTGTCAAAAATCCATTTGAAGCCCAATTCCTCCGTCAATTTGGCGGCCCGAAGCCTAAGACACTTTTTATCGACAGAGGAGAAGAAGGACGTTATGCCTTCGCCTTTCACGTGGATTTCTTCAATCCAGAAGGGATGAATGTGCGGGGAGCTAGTGCGTCCTGCAGAATCATCTCCATGGCATGCTTGAATCTGCCTTTGGACATCAGATATAAGCCGGAGAATATGTATCTTGCAGGTATCATCCCAGGTCCGAAGCAGCCGTCTCTGGAGAATCTCAATCACTATATCCGACCGCTCATCAATGATTTGGTAGACGCATGGGAGCGCGGTATCAAGTTTTCCAAAACCCTGTGTTACCCCAACGGTCGGCTAACTCGTAGTGCTGTTGCCCTCATTGTTTGCGATCTTCCTGCTGCTTGTCATCTCTCTTCTCTGGCTGGAGTCAGTAGTCATTTCTACTGCAGTGCATGCGATTGCTATCACAAATCTACTTATGGAAGAGTAGACTTCAAGAATTGGAAACCTCGCGATAGAGACAAACTCCGAGCACATGCTGAGCAGTGGAGAGATGCTGTCATGTCCGCTGAATGTGAAACACTGTTCAAGACTCATGGTGTGTGTTATTCTGAGCTCTGGCATCTACCATACTGGGACCCCTCCCGGCAACTTGTTATTGATCTGATGCACTGTCTATTGGAAGGTTTGGTTCCTCACCACACCCGTAATCTGCTTGGTTTGACCTCAGGGTCAACCGCTTCGGCTTCTGCCCCTCTTGCATTTTCGTACGACTTTGGCGAAGTACCTCCCGGGACAATGACGACAAGGGAAATGACGCAGATATCTACGATCCAGGCCCTCCTTGTTTCCCAGATGACTATTTCCGATGAAGAGGCTTGTTTTAACAAGCTGAAAAACTCTCTGGTCCACAAGAATATGGGACTGCTGAAGTTTGTCTGCAATACCTTGGGTTGTTTGCCACAGAAAGCTGGTAGAACATTCAAGATAGATTATGTCAAAGCTCTTCTTGAGTGGGTAAGTTCTTCATCATCATGTTTACTGTCCCAAGTTTCTTAACGCTTATTCACAGCATCGTGGAAAACCTTTAACTGCTCCCCAAGAAGAACCTCAGTTTGGGACAGCAGAAGTACTTGGATGTATTCGCGACGTCATCTGAGATGCATCTGTCCCCACTTGGCTTGGCTCAGTCCCCAGTAATTTTGGAGAGGTGTCTGCTGGGATGCTTAAAGCCGATGAGTGGTGATCGCTTATCATAGTCTATCTTCCCATCGCCCTCGTGAGCTTGTGGGGAGCCGGTACCTCACATTCTTCCGATGAACTCTCTGTCCACCTCAGAACTGTTCTTGATCACACTATGGAACTAGTGTGCGCAGTGAATCTTGCATGTGCACAGACTATGACTGCAAGAAGAGCAAACGCCTACCGCTCGTATATCTCTGGTTATGTCGGAGAGTTGAAGGAGATCCATCCTACCTTCTCTCTCCACCCAAATCACCATGTGTCCTTCCACTTATATGACTATTTACTCCTATTTGGACCCGCCCACTCGTGGTGGTGTTTCCCCTTCGAACATCTGATTGGCATACTCCAACGCCTTCCCATAAATCACAAATTTGGTTTGTCCTTATCAGAATACAGGACGAGCAAAGTAGGCTAATATTTTGTCAGGGGAGTTCGAGAATACAATGCTGTGTTCGTATATTAAGGCTACCAGGTTTCACCGTTGGCTCACTCGAACAGACTGTCCGCCCGCTATCCAAGAGTGCAGGATCCTGTTTGATAGAGTATATGCCCCAAAGGGTGCTCCAGATCCCAGTCAAGAGCTTGTCAAAGACCCTATGGATGATGTTGTCCAGGGGGTGCCTGACTCGGTAACAACCAGTATGGTGCCTGAGGATCTATATACCCTCATCAGGCGACGAACAGCAGTATTACGCGCCTCGCTGAAGTTTGACAGCATCATTTACAGCAGGGC